GTGGCCTGCTGTCATTGTGTTCCTGCAAGAGTTTTATTCCGCAATGTTTTTGCTCGCCACTTCCTACCGGTTTCACTTCTTCATGTACTTTCTCGCGGATGTTCTTGAGCAGTTGAACATTCTGAACAGGGCATTCCAGCAGCGCCAGGTATGTTTGAGTGTGTATTTCCATGCCTTCGCTTGTTATTACTTGTTTGTACACGCTGCTGACAGTCTTCCCTTTTTGACCGATGCCTGCAGCTGGACCTTGTCTCGCTGCACGGTCAGATCAAGCGCACGACAATACATATCGAGAGCCGATATGTGGATTGTGGGGACGAGTTTTACGGAGGCTTCAGTCGTTGGCTGTCGCCCTTCATCGAGCATTACAGCCCCGGAAAGGACCGTGAGGTGATAGTGGAGGGGCCCGACTCCGATGGGCGACCAGCAACATTCAAGTTCACGCTCCACGAGGACAAGGTCAAAGGCTACGAAGGCCCGTGTGATCACGACGCCTGTGTGGAGGCCTACACCGACTTCGCCGAGCGCATCGTGGCGAACCTGGAGAGTCGGCTGAGTGACTTGGACTCGTTGTCGGGAGTCCGACTGTTCCTGCCGGATGAGTGGCCGAAGAGCAAGTTGGAGCGTCACGCACGATGCGTTGAGTGGCTGCAGTCGTTGGTGACGCTGTTCAAGGCAGAGCAGGCAGAAGACATACTACCAGGTGGAGATGTGTTTTCTGTTTGTTTCAATGCCATCGTATTGTTTCTCTTTACAGCCAATACACCTCCTTCCCGTTTGCTTAAGTCATCACTAAGCCCCGTCTTGCATTGTTTCCTCCCCCTCCACTTGTTGCCATGCCAGGTATCAAGAAGCGGCAGGCCCACAAAGAGCTGCGACTGTTCTGCTCCGTCCGTGCCTCTGCACCGAAGGGGGAGAGGTCTTTCCATGATGGCCTCACGACGATTTTGAAGACTCCTGACTGCCGGGAGAGTTACCCCAACCTTGTGCTGTTGTGGGTAGCAGTGGCGGTGATTCCCCTTAGCACTGTGGAGTGCGAAAGGGGCTTCTCTCGCTAGAACGTGATCAAGTCCTGGCAGCGGAGCAGCCTCAAAGATGCACGGCTGGGAGACCTGATGTACATGTCTCTGATGCCGTACGAGCCACGGTTCGACGAGGTGGTCGACATTTGGAGAAGCTACAGGAAGAGAAAGCCGTTCTCTAATGACCCTATTTCCACCCAAGGGGAAACCAGCAAGAAGGGTAGAGCGACAGCTATGGAAGTAGATGAACCCCATGCTGTAGAAGATGTACCGTCATCACCCGGATATACCCCCAGGCCTATGTTACACCCATGCGGTTATAATCGTACTAGTGGGCTTATAGCCGGTTGCCGATTATAAGCCCACCCCAATTTCTGTCAATCTTTGTATAAGCGCACCCAATGAATTCTGCTTTTTTTTTAGCGAAATCGCCACTAACGCACCTAAACGAATCGTCACAGACGTGCATGACGAATTCCCCCCTGGCTCGCTCGGCAAAATTTCCACAGGAGGTGCACACGTGAGCGAAATCTGCAACATTTGACTGGTGCTGACTGGGATTCTTGACTGTACGACACATTCTCGGAACTTTTCAGCATGGAACCTCTTTGTGTTAGCATCGATTTAAATCGCCAGGGTGAAATCCACATTCCAGTGTTATAAAATTAAATTTCCATAAGTGTCATTTATTTAGCCCATGGGGTTATAAAATTTACCACATTATAAGCCCACCCACCATTTTTCCATGTTTTTTTACACCCCCACCTGGGGGTATATCCGGGTGATGACGGTAGGCTCTAGTGATAGTGAGGATGAAGATGACGAGGATGATGATGATCTTGATAGTTCATTGTAATTCTTACAAGATGTGAGTGGATCAGATCAGACTTCACCGCAAAACGACGCTGATCGTTCAACTTTTTCTCTCCTAGACACCCTGGAAAATCAGTTTTTTTTTTACCAACTCCACTGACCACTCAGTCATGAATCCATTCCTAAGGATGACTAGTCAACCTACACCAAAACGAATCTGAGGGCCTGCCATCCGGCCATCAAGTGCCAAGGTTCCAAATAAAGGTACATTCCTGTGAGGACACAAATGTCTCTATTGCTTTGTGACACACAAAGACAGCATGAACAGTAGTGTGTCCCAATTGCGAGTTCCTTTTCTGCAACCATTGCTGTACTTTTTATTGGTCAGCATGAAACGCGCTGATGTCGTTGACGAATTGTAATCCGACTCGTCAATGTGAAACAATCGCACGTGGCTCGAAATGTCAATGCACCTGGACAGCCTACAATGCCAATTTCATGCGGGAAAAAGTCCCGCGCTTCGAAACCACACCCCAGCCAAGCGGTTGAAAAAAGGGATGTACAGTCATTTGTGTCACCCAATAAAATGCGCACAACTGTACATTTCGCCTGGTCGCTGGAATCGCGAAACATTCATTTATTGTGACGCGAGATTGACAAAATGTTTTGACGCGACTCGGGAAAAAGGGGATTGAGACACTTGTGTCCCCACAGGAATGTACCCTAAATACAGGCTGCCAAGGATGCTCACTAGGCATGTCCTGCCATGCAGTCTTCCGAAAATGCACGTTCTGAAATTGAAATTCCCTCCTTACGATTCAACCTCTCTCAATCCCTCTCACACCGTACCTTCCAAACCTACTCAAATCTCAAGTTTGTCCCTTACTGTCACATCCACTTATTCCATCCTTCCCTGCCTCATACAAACTACAGCCCATCCTCACTCTTCCCGGCCAGCCCACGTAGCCCAGTCTGCCTCATCCCACCGAATCTCGCCCAATCACCTCATCTCACTAACCAAATTCGCACACGATCATCATCGCACCGTATCACACCCATCATGCACTCCCTCACAAATTTATCACCCATTCCACCTCCCTCACTCACTCCGCAGTATCTCACCCACCCTCCTCATCAAGCCTAGTTCAGCCCAGCCTGCCTCATCCCAAGCCAACCCACCCGACCTACATCAACCTCACCTTCCTGCCACTTCCTCTGGCCAATCCCCTACGCCACCCAGCCTATGTCCATTCCTTACCTCACCTGCACCCTCATGCCACTCTTTCCTATCACACAACCACCCCCTCGCCACCTGCTACTTGACCACCCCACATACCCTGCCTCGTACCAACCCACCATGCCCAACCCACTGTGCACCAGAACCCACCTTCCCATCTACACACCTACCGACCTACCCACCAACCATAACCCACCTACCCAGCACCCTCACCCATCTACCCATCACCCGTCACCCACCTTCCCATCACCCATCACCCACCTACCCATCCCCTCACCCAACCAACCCATCAATTCCACAGCCAACCACAAAACGCACCACCCACCACCTGCCCACCCTGTTAGTCACCCAACCACCCGTGCACTACCCACCACCCAGCCAACCAACAACCAACCCACCCACCTAGTTACCCAACGACCTACCTACCCACCTACCACCCACCCATTCACCCACCCACCACCAACCCACCCAACCACCCACCTACTCAACCATTCACCCATTCACCCACCCACCCACCCACCCACCCACCCACTGATTCAACCAGCCAGCCGCCCGCCGACTTACCAAGATACCACCCAGGCAGCTACCCATCTATTCACCCGCCGACTTACCAAGTTACCACCCAGGCAACTACCCATCTATTCACCCGCCGACTTACTAAGTTACCACCCAGGCAACTACCCATCTATTCACCCGCCGACTTACCAAGTTACCACCCAGGCAACTACCCATCTATTCACCCGCCGACTTACCAAGTTACCACCCAGGCAACTACCCATCTATTCACCCGCCAACTTACCAAGATACCACCCAGGCAACTACCCATCTATTCACCCGCCGACTTACCAAGTTACCACCCAGGCAACTACCCAACCCACCTACCAACCTACCCATCTATTCACCCACCCACTTACATACCCACCAATCCACCCACAAATCCAACCCATCACCCATCCTCCAACTATCCATATACCCACCAACCCACCCCGGTGCCTACCCACCCACCCACATACCCACATACCCACATACCCACATACCCACATACCCACATACCCACTTACCCACATACCCACATACCCACATACCCACATACCCACTTACCCACTTACCCACCCACCCGGCCCCCCACCTACCCACTTACCCACCCACCCACCCAACCCATCTCCTATCCACAACCTAGCCACCCATCCATCCACTTACCCACTTCCCTTACCTCTCACTCACCCATCCAAAGAGATACATACAGCCCCTTTTCCCCCACTCACCCACCCAAGGGAATTCAACCCCATTCACCTCACTCACCCAGCCAAGGGGATTCAACCCCATTCACCTCACTCACCCACCCAAGGGGATTCAACCCCCCTCCCTTATACTCACCCACCCAAGGGGTTTCAGCCCCCCTCCCTTATACTCACCCACCCAAGGGGTTTCAGCCCCCCTCCCTTATACTCACCCACCCAAGGGGATTCAGCCCCCTTATACTCACTCACTCACTCAAGGGGACTCAGCCCCCTTCCCTGTCACTCACCCACCCAGCCCATCCCCTCACCTGCCAGCAGCAGGAGCAGCAGAGAGCCCACTTCCTTAACGAAACAGCAACTTCAGAAGCTGTGTCTTGCGGGATGAAGTGTGGTAGTGGAAAATCGCTTCCAGCCCAAGACTCAAATCCCACCCCTGACGTAGCTAGAGCTGACGCGAACCAGAGCCGCCAGCCGGTGGGCTCTGACGGTGTCCATTAAGCCTTGAACGCCAGATTGGGAGCCTGAGCACCGAGTGCCGTGCCGCACAGATTCCACCCACCACACCCCGACTCACAAGTCGCAACCACAGAGGATGCTGCCCCCAAGGCAGTGAACGCCCTGCTTGCTCCCATGCTCCCCACCCACCCCCTCCTCCCAAACTTCAGGCCCATGCGTACTTACCTGTACCTACCTCAGTCGTGCAGTGCGCCATGATGCTGAGGCTGCTGGGAAGTGGAGAGAGAAGGGGAAGTTAGGGGAGGGAGAGGCTCCTCTGTAGGCCAGGCAGGGTGCTGCTGGGAGGGAAGGGAAAAAGGAGAGAGGAGGAGGTGAGTGAGAGGGTGGACTCCACTCTTCCACTCTTACTCCAGTGCTCCCCACCTTCAGCCTGCAGGGAGGAGGGAAGAGAGAGAGAGGAGGGGATCAGCTTACCATACCTCACCTGTTACCATACCACACCTGTCACCATACCATACCTAGTACCATACTTCACCCACAGCTAAATCTAGCCTAGCCTCGCCCCCCACCCCCACTGCTGCTTCTGCTGCTGCCGGTCTGCTACTCTGCTTCACCCTGCCGCTGCCGCTGCCACACCCCTCCTCTCCGCTGCTGCCCTGCTGCTGCCCTGCTGCTGCCCTGCTGCTGCCCTGCTGATGCCCTTCTGCTGCCCTTCTGCTGCCCTGCTGCTGCCCTGCTACAGCCTTCAGTGTACTGGGAGGGAGGGGAGAGGGAGGGAGGCAGAGAAGCAAGGGACTGCAGTGAGAATGGGGAGAAGAGCATGCAGAAGCATGAAGGCACGGAGGGAGCAAAAACGGAAGTGAGCATGGGGAGAAGACCAAGCAGCAGCAAGAGGGCACGAGGGAAAAGAGGCTCGCATTGTTTCAGACGATCCAATCCCAATACTCTCCCATCCCATCCCAGCCGAGTGGAGTGCTGGCCCCGTTGCCCCCCACCTGCATGGCCACAAGGGGAGGGGTGCAGAGGAGTGGCGGTGTTGACCCCACACCCCTCCCCACCACCTGCAAGGCACACACACAGCAACAGTGAGTGTACTGTGCGGTACTAAAGGAGAATCGGCTCGGCAAAAATCTGCAAAGCCAGAGGGGGGAGGGGCCACTGGGGGAGGCACGGTCACAAGCCACGGACCGCCTAATGAACCTAAAAATGTTAAACCTGAGGGGGCTGTTAGGCTTTGGGGGGGCTGAACTTGAACCTGAGGGGTTACCAGTAGTAGGGGTGGGGGGGTCTGTGGCTTGAAACACGGGCCTTAACCAATAGCGAGGATTTTCGAGGAAAAGCATGGGAAACACAAAGAACGCAGAATGATGCACTCTTGGCAGACGGAAATGCATAACCAAGGAGGAGCGATACTCAGCTGGACAGGCGACGGCTTGTTGCTGCCCCTTTGCCTCGCGTTCTGCTGCCACATCCCCTCTGTCGCCCCCCTCTGTTGCCCTCCCTTCAACGCAACGGGTTCTCGTGAGGAGGGTAGAGGCCGTGAGAGGCAAGGAAAAGGGAGAGCAGTGAGAATAGGGATAAGAGCGGGCAGAAGCGTGAAGGGAGGGTGGTAGCAAGAAGCGTGAAGGGAGGGTGGTAGCAAGAAGCGTGAATGATAGAATACAGGAGAGCTGCAGCAGCGATAGAAGAGGAGGGAGAGAGAAGGGTGAGGCCAAGGAGGAAATGACGTACCTTGTGAGGCCAAGGAGGAAATGACGTACCTTGTGAGGCCAAGGAGGAAATGACGTACCTTGTGAGGCCAAGCCCATCCCCATACTCTCCCCTTGTGGCGCCAAGGAGGGAGACTGGTGCAGTGCTGCAGTGCTGCTGCCCTCCCATCGGCCACAGGGGAGGAGCGTGGGGAAGCGTCGGTGTTGACCCACACGCCCCTCCCCTCCACCTGCAAGGCACACAAGCAGGGATAGTCAGTTGGCAGTCAGGGGAATAAAACGCACAAGAAGCTTTGAAAGGCACGGCAAGAGAGGGTGCAAAGTACATGAGGGAACGAGAGATGACGTGGCAGGCAAGGGTGAGGGCAGGGAAGAAGGTTCACTTATCTGATGGCGTGAGAGCTGGAGGCGAGCACAAGGTAGGTGAAGCACCACCAGGTGACTCCCTTCCCCGGCAGCCCTCCTCCCAGCCTTCCTGTTCTGCTGCTCGGCTGCTGGTGTGTGCGTTCTTCCCTTGATGCTGATCAACCTGGTAGCGGGCTGAGAAGGGAGAAGTGGGACAGGAGAGGAGTAGCCGGAGGAACTGGTGAGTGGACATGAATAGAAACACTCTTGCCAATACGAGAAGAAACAAATATGAGAATGACAGAACTGAGGAGAGCTGCAGCAGCGAATGAAGTGGAGAGGGAGAGAGCGGTGAGCCAAGGAGGGAGGCGGCGTACCTTGCAAGGCCAAGCCCATCCCCAAACTCTCCCTCCTGGCGCCAATTCCAGTGTGTTGCAGTGCTGCCGCCCTCCCATCCCCATGGAACCTGCACAGCCACAAGGGAGGGGCGTGGGGAAGCGTCGGTGTTGACCCGCACGCCCCTCCCCTCCACCTGCAACGCACACACAGCAGAAGTCAGTGTGCAGCGAGGGGACTAAGGACGACGTCCAAGCAACTGAAGGGGGAGAGAAGGGAAGGGCCACTGGTGGAAGCACAGCCACAAGCCACAGACCCAAAGGGGAACCTGAACCTGAACCCGAACCTGAACCTGAACCTGAGGGAATACCTGAAGTAGGGGTCTGTGGCCTTTGAGTTGGGACCCAACCAGTGGGAAGAATTCAAAGAAAGCGTCTAAGAAAACGAGATACAAATCAAAGCAGAATGATGAGCAATTGGCAACGTTCGAAGGAGGAGAATATACTTAGCTGGAGATTTCAGGCCCCCGTGCTGCCCCATGCTGCTTCTTCTGCTGCTCCTGCTGGCATAGGCCCTCCATGCCTCCCTTCCCCAACCATCCCGTCCCTTTCTGCCAAGTAATCTGGACGGAGGGAAGGGGAGGGAGAGTGGGAACAGTTGCAGGGAAGGAGGCAGGGAGGGCGACAGCTGCAGAAGCAGAAGCAGCAGATTGAGATGAAGCGAATGGAAGGTTGAGAGCACTGGCTGCAAGGGGGACACGGCCGAGGGTGCCTACCACATGTTACCACACATGGGGCTGTAAGTACCTGAGGAGAAGGGCACCTGCTACCTTAGGCTGAACCTACCATCTGTTACCTGGGGAGGTGGTTGATTCCCTGGGCGTGTCCCCTTGCAGCAAGAGCAGCGATGGGCGCATGACATGCGAGCAGAGAGAACAGATCATAGCGGGACAGAACGGAACAAGAAGCAAGATGTGGCTGGTGAGACCTTGAGATTAGGGCACTTAGCTTCTGGAAGGGAAAGTCAAAGCTCTGTTGGTGCCCCTTCTGCTGCCCTCCAGCTGCCCCTTCTGCTGCCCTCCTGCTCCCCCTTGTGCTGCCCTCCTGCTCCCCCTTGTGCTGCCCTCCTGCTCCCCGTCCTGCTGCCCCCTGCTACAGCCTTCAATGTACTGGGGGGGAGGGGAGAGGGAGGGAGGCAGGGAAGCAAGGGACAGCAGTGAGAATGGGGAGAAGGGCATGTAGAAGCGTGAAGGCAGGGAGGAAGCAAGAAAGGGAAGTGAGCATGTGGAGAAGACCAAGCAGCAGCAGGAGTGCAAGAGGGAAAGAGGCTCACCTTGTTCCAGACGACCCAATCCCGATTCTCTCCCATCCCATCCCAGCCGAGTGGAGTGCTGCCCCCCTCTGCTCCCACCACTGCCACCTGCATGGCCACAAGGGGAGGGGTGCGGAGGAGTGGCGGTGTTGACCCCCACGCCCCTCCCCTAAACCGGCAAGGAGAGAACTGAAGACGAGTGAGTAAGCAGCTAGGGTACCAATGCAAAGCGAGTGCATGGGTGGGGTGGGGTACGTTGGAGTGGGGTGGCAGGTGACAGCAGAAAAGGGGGCCACTGGAGCAGTCTCAGCTACAAGCCACAGACCCAGAAGGGCTCTATACCAAGGGAGGCTTAACCTGAAAGGATACCTTCTGTACCAGGGGTGGTTTACCAGAAAAAAGGGGTCTGTGGCTTGTAGTTGTGGTATGACCAGAGGCTCAAGCTTGAAGGGAGGCTCAGGTCTCTTGGGTGGGACAGAGGGCAGCACACGAAAAGCAACAGAGTGTGAGGGTTGGAAGAAGAGAGGAAGGGCGGGGTACTTAGCTGTGGGTGGGTTGGGTGGAGAGCAGCTGCTGCCTGTGCACTCCATGTCCCCCACCACTGCCACTCCCGTGTAAGCGACCAGCTGGGATGAGACGGGTCGGACAGTGACAGAGAGAGGAAGGGAGTAAAGGGGGAAAGAAAACGGGGAAGTGAAGGGGGGGTAGAGGAGTGGGGAGAGCAATGAGGAAAGGAGCAAGTACAATTGGACTGAACAGAGAGTAACGAGAGCAGAAAGTGCAAGAATGATGCGTGCATGAATGGACTGCTGCAGCGGCACACCCAAGAGACCTCGTACCAGTTGAACCAAACTAAATCAAATCCCTGAGGCTGTACCAAGAAATACCTGCTACCTTGGGGGAGGGAGGTCTCATGGGTGTGACACAGAGCAGTGAAGAAGGGAGTGTGATGAATGGTGCAGCATGACATGAAAAGCAACAGAGTGCTATGGTTGGGAGAAGAGAGTAAGGGCGGGGTACTTAGCTGTGGGTGGGTTGGGTGGAGAGCAGCTGCTGCCTGTGCACTCCGTGTCCCCCGCCACTGCCACTCCCATGTAAGCGATCTGCTGGGACAAGAGAGGGCAGATCAGGACAGAGCGAGGAAGGAAGGAGGAAGTGGAGAAAACGGGGGAGTGAAGGGGGAGCACAGACGTGGTGAGGGATGAGGAAAGAAGCAGACGAGTGGAGTGAAGGGAGAGTGACGAGTGCAGAAGTGCAAGTTTATGCGTGCATGAATGGACTGCTGCAGTGGCACACCCAAGAGACCTCGTACCAGCTGAACCAAAGTCAAACAAATACCGGAGGCTGTACCAAGAAAATCATACCTGTTACCTTGGGGGAGGGAGGTCTCATGGGTGTGACAGAGAGCAGTGAAAGAGGCATATGATGCATGGTGCGAGCACAAAAAGCAACAGAGTGCGAGGGTTGAAGAAGGCACTTAGCTGGCGGTTGAAGAAGGAGCTGATGCTGCTGCCGCGCGACCATTTTGCCATGCCACGATTTGCGGATGAAGATTTCGCCATGAGGCGAATTGCAGACGACGATTCCGCCGTGCGACGACGCGTGGAGGACGAAAGCCTCACCGAAAAACGCGAAACCACAAACTGGCGACGCCTAATCACATAGCAAGTTGTCGCCAACCATTTGCTTGGCGAGACAGCGTGAGCAGAACCTGCACAATATCAAGAAAAATAAAGCTCAGTTGGTTGAAAACGAGGTGAGAATAGGCTACGGGTATTACTACAAACGATGAGAAACGGACTGAAAACGGCGAAATGAAAGACGCTCACCAGAGATTGCTGGATTTTGAGTCACGACTTCAGCTTTGCGACGATGTACAAGTCGCTGAAGCGCGTCGAAGTCGAGTTCAAGTGGTCTGTGAACGTGAATAATACCTGCAATGCGAAAATAATCGCAATCTGTTTAGTTAAATCTCGCATGTGAAGAGCAAGCTAGAATCTGCAAGAAATGACGAATCAGCGACGAAGTACATACCTAAGTTCGGAGGCTGGAACTGCACAACGAACTGAGTGCAGCTTGGCGGATTTGGCTGCTAAATCTCGAAGATTCCAATGTTGATTGAGGAACGATTTCGATGGGAGCGGAGAGCTACGGCTACCGAAAACAAAATGGAAGAGCTACGCTAGCAAGATGAAGGAGAACGCTCTCAGGTGGCGGAAACTCAGTTGAAAATGAGCAGAATCGACCATGTTGGAGAGAAATCGAGTCGAAAATGGCTGAGAACGGGCCAGAATCAGCCGAGGGGGTCACAGATTGAGGCTCACTACCCCCCTGGAATGACGGTGGTTTCATAAAGTAAATCTAACGGTTCCATAATGTTACTCTTTGAGGAGGTTGGGGCTAGATTCAAATCTCAACTGTAGGTCGAAGTTCCAACGTGTCACATGATTGTGCGGTTCAGGTGGTTTGGAACCCTCCGTTTGCTACACTCCGTCACGTGTCCCAATCGCCGTCAAGCGGCTACATCGAAAAAGAGAATCCAGAGATCTCCCAGAAAGGGTCCGTTGAAGGAAGCGGGAATCAAGGGTAGGAATGAGCAAACGAAAAGCCCATGATTTTCGACCGTCGATTTGAAAATCTATCAGGTGGATCCGTTATTTTGCCGGTTCGACATCTGCCGCCGCGTCGCTCAATCTCGAACTACCAGTGGTGGCCAACGAGAGGCCACGAAACCCCTAGCCGTGTGAGAGAGCCATTGTGGTTTGAAATGGGATTCCCGCTATACCTGGAGGGCAGGATCTCCCTTTCGAATCCCTCGTTGGAGCTAGACTGCGAGAATTTCTCCAGACCCGGAAACGGTGATTTGCCGTTGCACACGTGACCTCGAATTGCTACCGTGGTCGGACAATTCGATGATAATTGCTCGAGTGGTCTTGCCAGAGGTTTCCTCTGGCTTTTTTTTTATCCGGCACATTACCCAAAACCGGTTTTTAGCCCTGCTTTTCTTACGGCATTCGTGTCTCTTCCCGCAAAAACGTGGCGTGTGATTTTCCGCCCGAAATTTTCGGCTGGGTGACGTGCGCGAGGGCGGCCATGTCACCGTTCGAATACACGACAATAATCAACACGATCATCTTGGGCGAACAGTCGCGCTCATTTTCGGTCCAGTTCTTGACCAATCCGCGCAGAGATATGAATCCCCGATCATATACTAAGTTGCACGACTGTCCACACGCGCGACCAATTACAGAGCGCGTTTGATTGGTCGACTTTATGCGCGGGGCCTTTTCTGACCTTGCGCGTCCAATCAGGCGCGCTCATATAGGGTCACGCCCATATGAGATCGCGCTACTGGAAATGGAATATTTGTTTAAACTGACGAATCCTACAAAAGGTACACACGCCGAAACAAAACCTCTGGCCAATTAGAGTCAAATTCAAACGCTAAGTCAATATCCCGCGCATTTTTTTTTTAAGTGATGCAACACACCTCACACACCCTATTCTCTCGTCGTTTTAGGGTTGACATCCTACTTTGTTCCCGTATCTCTTCTAGGAGGTAATTCAGTTGGAACGTTTCTACTAGCCGCAATGGGTTCGTCATCTAATACTACTAACACAGAGTACGACTCAGGCGACGAAGATACGGAGTTTTGTTTTGTTGGCACTGGAGAGCCCAAGCAGAGTGATATGTACTGTGCATTGCTCCGAAATATGACGGATGAAGATAATCACTCGCCACCATTAGTGACAAACGATCGAGCCCCGTTGTGTGAAGGTCAACTGTACTCCTCGAAGAAATTTCTGTACGAGGCGTTGGAAGATTATTCGGTAGCCCACAACTTCGGTTTTAGGGTTTCAAAGAGTAGGCCAAACAGAGCCTGCACTATATGCATGAGTCACCATGAGCGACGTAAACCAGCTTGCAAGTGGCGGTGTGAGTACTCAACTGACGGAGCGGGTGGGTTTTGGCGTGTTGATAAACTGTCCGCCCCAACATCTCATTGTTGCTCACCCGTTGATCGGGACCGCTACGTGAACCACACTACAAATAAAGTAGCTTATCTACAGCGTCATCATGGGAACCTTGTCCACGCCGCTCCACATCACCCTCCCGGGACTTACAAGGATCAGATTACGCCGACCGGCGGTCCTGACATCAATTATCATCAATCTTGGAGGTAGGTATTATAGCATTCTATTGTGGTTCCCAACCTTCCATCTCATCCGTGTACCATAAAGAAATGTTCATGATTACCCACACAATGTCTCTCATGTTCGTGCTACATGCCTATACTGTCTTGCACGTTATCACCAATCATCGCAGGCTCAAGGAAAAGATGTTGAAGGAGCGGTTTGGAGATTGGAAAACATCGTTTCGTTACATCCCTCGCCTGTTGGAACGCTTCAGGGCGATTGACCCTGAATCAACGCTCGACCTTGTGACGAAGGATCACGCTTTCTTCCGTGTTTTTGCCGCCCCATCGGCATCAAAAACTGCCCTAAGGTTCTGCCGACCGGTCATTGGTATGGATGGCACGTTTCTCATTCGGGCACAGCGTGCTACGCTCTTGGTTGCAGCTGCTAAGGATGGCAATAACCAGCTTGTTCCATTCGCGTACGACCTATGCGAGAGTGAGAATAAGGACAGCTGGAAGCGGTTTTGTGAGAACTTGTTGAAGCATATTCCATCTTGGCCAACCACACAGAATGCCTCCCTTATTAGTGACCGTGACAAGGGGTTGATTCCTGCTGTTAAAGAAGTGTTCCCATTAGAGCTTCCCCACTACTTTTGCAGCTGGCATTTGGAGCAAAATGTGCTAAAGTTTGGGCCCAACGCCTCGGACCTCTTCAAGAAGCTCGCCAACTGCCGCACCAAGGCGAAGTTTGGGAAACTCGTGAGGAGATGCCGGCAGCAGTGTGCCGCAATGGCTAACTATCTTTTCGGGGTTGAAGAAGGTCGTGCGCAACAGACCGGTGGCCGACGCAAAACCAACCGACGAGCTAGCGTGCCAGAGTCAGGAGATGAGTTAAGGAGCATGAATAGTGCCGCAAAACAGGCAAGAAAGGCGAGGATGGAGTTGCGGCGGCAAAGACGACGTCAAAGCAGGGGAGAGCAGCAGCAAACAATGGCGGCAGATGATACCACTAACCGCACCTTTCCCTCCATGCCTCCTTCGCCAGCTGCCGACATTGTTGATTCATCGGCTCAAGAGACCACACCAACATCTGTGCTCCCTTCGTTCGCAGGCGATAACCAAGGAGATGAGCCGGCACCTTTGGACGATAATCAACCGGAAACAGATGCCACACCAGAAGTGTTCAATGACCAGTTTGAGGTGGAGGACGGGACTCTGATCAGCTGCGGGGAGGATTCCGGGGATGAGGACGGTACAGATAATGGCCAGTGCTCAGATCCCACCACTACGCTATCCAACGCAGCTGCGCAACAAGCGGCCAAGATGCGGCAAAGGCGGAAGGAGATTCTTAGAGGGAAACGGGATGCAAGGGTTGGAAGGGCCGGTGTCTTCGACAACAGGGCAACAACCGACCCTCATTTGCCAACTCAAGAGAGCCAAACACAACGTCATCCAACACTTCAGCACCGTGTCCCCCCCCCCATGGGTCAGCGCAACGAAGCAGCACGAAGTGCGGACGTCACCGGCGATCCAGAGACGGGGTTGGGTGGGTTGGGCAATGCGGATGCTTAGCAAGGGGCTGGGGACCAGATGGAGGAAGGTGCGGGTATAATTGTTCGCCCGGGACAGGATGGCCCCAGGTACAAGAGGAAAAAGAAGATTACAGTCTTCATCAAGCAATGGGCACGGTGTTGTGCCCCCACATATCGTTTTGGTATCTAAAGCAGCCAAATGGTGGAGTCCATAAACAACGCTATCAAGAAGATCCGTATTCTGCCCGTGACGTACGTAATGGCGGGCATGTGGGATTGGATGGCAAAGATCTACTCGGATGGACAGCGGAGATCTTTAAACTGGCAGCATACATTAACGGTCGAGGGTGAGAAGCGGTTTGAGCTGAAAAAGAACCGAAGCCGTGGCTACAGGGTCACACGCAACGGTCCAAGCAATGCAAAGGTTCGAAACAAGGGCTCCCTGCTGGATCCACGTCCTCTATCCTTCAACAATGATGTCGGAGAGAGATTGTGCGAATGCAAAAACTGGCAGGAGTATCGGTTCCCATGCTCACATGCATTTGCACACTTACTGGAGAGGGGAATGGATCCTATACCCTTGATTTCCAGGTATTGGAAGGCTGACAACTGGAAAAGGACTTATGGGTCTCTCATTCCGTATTCGTGTGTAGACATTGTTATTGCTGAAAACGAGCCAGTTGAGGAGGGAGTTTGTGATCCTCCTATTTTTGTGCAGAGAGGAGCAGGGCGGCCACAATCAAACCGAAGGCGTGAAGCCCCTAAACGGAGATACAAGTGCGGTGACTGTGGCTCGACGGAGCATACCCGGAAGAAATGTAAGGGGAAATATGGGGGGTCAGGTATGTATCACGTAGCAAGCTAGTGGTACGGGGATAGTTTGATTGCGGAATATTAACTACAGCATAAGAATCTTAGGGAATGTGGTACGTTGCATGCTCTTTGCTACTAGGAGAAAAGGAGCAACGAATTGCCATTAGTTGAAGATAAATGAAACTCCAAATGACCGGCCATAAACATTACTGCCCTTGACCAGTAGTACGCACACGCGCAATCCACCGGCTGTATTCACACGTGCAAATGACGGGGCAAATGCAGGCGCACATATGACCGGTCATATACTCACGTGCACAAGACAGGTAGTTAACGGACGAGCATATTACCAGACCACTGGCCGGATTTAGGGTACGATGTTACCACGCGAGCCCGACATTACGTGCCAAGGACGGATGCAGATTAGATTAACAATGTTGACAACCGTTAATACAAACAGTGCGTTTTGATGTCTACTTTCCATCATATGATTTTGTATCACGAAATTAGGGTTCACGACAATAAGGAAATTGCATATCTGTGCATCGGAATAGACATATTGTATACACGGATGAAACATAGTTTGAGTGGAGTGTACGTAGCAAGATGTTAGAAGAACCTGATAGTCGTTAATCTCGTGTCCCTCACATCAATACACCACAACCCTAAACTTACTACCACCCGGGACAGCCCATGTAACACACTCATGGGTAATATTAAATCCTTTAGATACAATACTGTCAAGAACGGAATGGTGGTTCGACTAAGGTTGGTTGGGGTGCGTAAACCTAACCCATACTGTTATACCCCATGTAACAACCCTCAGGTAAAAATATATCATATGACGATACCGTTCACGTATCCACACTTCCATTTTTGGCCATATCCATGTTAACAGGAATGGAGTGTTGGCCCCGCCCTCGCTTGGGCAACGCCGACGACTTGGTCGGATGTACGGGAGTAGCAACCGACTGTTCACAGTGGAGAGCTGCTCGACAGGCTTCGTCGAGCTGCAGGGGACCGCTGTGGTGTTGCTGCCGACCAGGGAGCTCAGCAGCTGCAACTGACTGGTCTGGGCGGCGGGTGGGACGTCGACCAGGACCTACAACTCGACCGGGAGGTCTCCGGAGCATCCCGTCGACCTGCCGTTCGACCGGGAGTTTCCTACGTGTACCCATCTCCTTGCTAGTTCAACCACTCATTGTTTTGTCATTTTCACACACATTGCGTGGATGTCGCGCATTTGGAAACTAATGTTGTATGTTTCTAAAACATTGTCGTTGTGCTAAATCAATTGCAATTTATTTGAGGTACAAGTATTGTACATATACAATCATGTATCGTTATCAGGCCTTTTAAGGCGCGCTGACGCGCCTTTTTAAATAGCGTATGGCGCTTTATGACCGGCCATATAAGGCGTGCATAAGACCGGTCATGCTGGAACGCGCATTGCACTGGTCGAATTGCACGTGTAATTGCCCGATCAATTACTGGGTGGATTTCATTGGTCGAAGATACTGTCGGAAATGGTTGGCAATCCAACCCTCGTATGGACTTCTGAAGAGATGCGTGTTCACTCTGTGTCGGGGTCCGACAGTCTGACATTTGGGCTCGCACGTAACAGCGCAACCATGTGTCAAACATTGTATGTTGTGGTTGTTTAGGCTACAGTGGGTTAGCCTATAGTGGGTACACATTTCTAGGGTTAGGTTTGACCTATTTGTACCCAACCCTCATTCTAGTGATCTATTCTCATTCTGACATGGTATTACGAGCCTAGGTTTCACCTAGGACCGAAACGATAGGGCCCACCGTTTCCGCTAGCCGCGCCTTCGTGCGCCGCCTTTTCCTGCGCCTCAAGCGCCTTGTTCTTAAGGCCCCCTAAGGCCCTCTCGCGTCGCCCCTTAAGGCCCCTCACGGCCCCTCGCGTCGCCCTCTTAAGGCCCCTTACGGCCCCGCGCTAGCCTCTCAAGGCCCCGTGCGGCCCCGCGCTAGCCCCCTAAGGACCCGTCGGCCCCGCGCTAGCCCCCTAAGGCCCCCGTCGGCCCCGCGCTAGCCTCTCAAGGCCCCCGAACGGCCCCGCGCTAGCCCCGAATGGCCCCGTACGGCCCCCCGCGCTAGCCTCTCACGGCCCCCTCGGCCCCGCGCTAGCCCTCTAAGGCCCCCGTCGGCCCCGCGCTAGCCTCTCACGGCCCCCGAACGGCCCCGCCCTCGCCCTGGACGGCCCCGCGCTCTCCCTTAACAGCCCCACCCGGCCCCGCGCTCGCCTCTCTAGGACCGAGCCGAACCGCGCGACCCGACCGAGCCGCGCGACCCGACCGAGCCGCGCCGCCCTAGCCGAGCCGCGCCGCCCTAGCCGAGCCGCGCCGCCCTAGCCGAGCCGCGCCGCCCTACTGCTACTACCACTGCTGCTACTGCTACTCCTGCTACTACTACTACTGCCACTGCTACTGCTTCAACTATGGCTAGCCCTACAGTTCTCTCGTTCGATACTGAGGGCCGCCCGATTAAGTTTGAGACCTGGCTCGATGATCTGCACCTATTCCTCCAGCTCACTGCCCGAGAGGATATCTCGCTGTACGATCACGCACTAGGCACAGTCCCTGCTCCTGCTACTACTGCTACCGCTACTGCTCGCTCGCAGTGGCAGACTCGCGATGCCTACGCCCGCTTTGCCATTCGCAACTCCCTGCCAGTCGATGAGCGCGAGCACTTTGGCCAGCATCAGACTGCGCAGGCCCTCTACACTGCTGTAGTTGCGCGCTACTCCTCCCCGGCCTCAGCTGCACTAGGCCGCCTCTCGCTTCCCTACCTGTTCCCCGACCTGTCCGCCTTCCAGACAGTCGCTGACCTCATCACTCACCTCCGCACTAGTGATGCCCGCTTCCGTGCAGCCATGCCCGCTGAGTTTCTTGCCTCCAACCCTCCCCCGCTCTGGCTCACTCTCTACCACCTAGTCACCCGCCTCCCTGACACTCTGCGTACAGTCAGGGACCACTTCCTAGCTCGCTGCCCCACTGAGCTCACCATTGCCGCCCTAGAGAAGGAACTACTTGCAGCTGAGAAGAGTATTGTCGCTGTAGGTGCCTCTCGTGGCGACCCCCGCACCCCTTTCTTCGAGGGGTGTTCCCCCTCCCCCCTGCTCCCCTCTGTCGCCTCTGCTGCTGCTGTCGACCTCCTTGGTGCTGAGCAGGTCGGCTCTGCGTCCGCTCCCAGTGGGCGCCGCAGCGGCAAGGGCAGGGGAGGCAAGGGCGGTGGGGGTGACGGCGGGGGAGGCGGTGGTGGGGGTGGTGGCGGCGGTGGGGGCGGTGGCGGGGCTGGAGGGGCTAGTGGCAGCGGTGGGGGTGGTGGAGGCAGCGGCGGCGGCGGTGGTCGGGGTGGGGGCGGTGGTGGTGGCGGCAGTGGACGTGGCAGCGGCAGGGGCGGTGGTGGTCGTGGTGGAGGCGGTGGTGGTGGTCGTGGAGGCTCTGGCCCTGGCCAGAGCGCGCAGCACCCTCAGTCCTCCCAGGAGCTTCGTGAGTGGTACTTACAGCACGGGGGTGGGGGGGGTAGCCTTAGCTGCACGTACGTCATCCGCACTGGTCGCCGCAAGGGACAGACGTGCGGGAGGGCGCACACTTCTCAGCGCTGCTTCTCTCGCCTAGATGACGCTTGGCGTGCTCAGTTTCCTGACGCTCCTGAGCTCCCTCAGTGGGCTGATCTCCTCAAGAAGGATATCGATATCTATGCTCTTGATTTTGATGTTATTCTCAAAGCCATGTATGCATTGACTATTAGTGGAGAGGAGGACCAGTACCTGTGTGTTCCGCCTGACCCAGGCATCCGCACGAGTGAGGCTGCCGCTCTAGGTGCTTGCACGTCCGCTGCCCCAGGTGCTGGTGAGGCTACTGCTCTAGATGCTGTGTGTCTGCCACCCCAGGTACTACTGAGTCCACTGAGGCACTACACACCTTCACTCTAGACTCACGCGCTTCGCGCTGTTTCTTTCGTGACCGCACTGCCCTTGAGCCCCTTGCTCGACCAGTCGCTGTCTCACTCGCTGACCCCTCTGGGGGTCCGGTCATTGCGACCTCCTCCACCCTCCTTCCTTGTCCTGCTGTCCCGTCGGGCACACTGTCAGGTCTCCACCTCCCCTCGTTCTCAACGAACTTGGTGGCGGGTTGTGCGCTTCAGGATGGGGGTGTTCACCAGTTCACCCCTGCCTACGAGCGCGTGACACACTGCACG